CGGAAGGAAGGTTGGGCAATCCTACTTCTGTAGTGATACTGCCTCGGAAACCCAAGGAGGGGTCGCTATGAGTCAGGGCTGACTCGAGGGCACATAACAACAACAACAACAACAACAAAATGTAAGAACCATCACTTATCACTAGGATCCCAAAATCCAATATGGCCAATACAGCCTGGATAGCTGATGAGGAAGCAGATCACTGGGAGTGAAAAAGGACATTCAGGATAACTTGGGATTAGGATCTTCCTTAGTACTCATAGACTGAACTCTGCTCACAGAATGACAACAATACAATTGGAGGCAGAAAGTTGTGACATTCTACGGTGTTCTCTTAATGTTTTATTATAGCTCTGCTAAAAGAACGGCAACCATTTAGCAGAACTTTCTTGCTCTGGGTTAGGAAAGAACCGTGGTCAGTGAAAAATTTGGTGGCAGAGTGAAAGCATTTAGCTGCTAACAAAATGTCAGTGGTTAGAACATTGGTGGTTAGAACCCACCAGCCGCTACACAGGAGAAAGACAAAGCATCTGCTTCCATCAACATTTACAGCCTTGGAAACCCTATAGGGCAGTTCTACTCCATCCTATAGGGCTGCTATGATTCAGAATCGATTCGATGGCAGTGGGTTTGGTTTTTTGGTTTTGATGCTGAACCTCCTTAGATAACTGTGTTCCCAAATAAGGAGACCCCAGCTAAGGCTATTTTCGGGAGAAACATGAGTTCAATTCTCTAGCCAAAGTGGCTGAGGTATGGGATTTATAAAGGAAATGCAGTTTCTTTGGTGGGAGCTCATGTGACCTTTCAAGTTGGGCATCTTCTAAGAACTACTGATCAACCAGCTTGTCCCAAGAATTCTTTAGTTAGCCAATAAAACATGACCTTTTTAGATACTGGGTATGGAGGTACCAGAAAATTGGTATCATAAGGCCTCCCGTCTACTGCCTCATCCAGTATTTGCTAATAATATAACACTCTATGTGGGCAGGGTACTTTCTCAAAGCATTTGGACGTTTCCAGCCCATAACTCATAAGACACATGCTGTAAGAAATGATAAAAGGAAGGGATGGAATTGCCAGGGAAAAGGACAGGAGAAAGGCAGGGGTTCCGAGTTTTTTGACTCCTCATGCCTCTAAATGACCCATAAGAAAGCTAGCAAAAAAATGAACATGTACTTAATTCCCACACACTTTTTACACTTTAATTTCTAAATTTCAATAATTAAGCATGCTTTCAGAGTTATCTTCTGAAGTGACATAAGAGACAGCAAGAGAAGATGGTTTTGTTCACCCACGTTATTTTTGAGGTCCGCGCGGGAGCCACCCAGCAGGAGGACGCGTGCGCTCTGGGAGTGGCTGTTCTGGCAGGCCAGGTGCAGAGCGGTGTTCCCCGCCTTGGAGAGAGGCACAGAGAAGGGAGGACACGTTAGGGACTTGCTTCTCCACAGGCCTGCACAGGGCACGCCTGACAGAGGGGGAAAAAAGGCAACACTCACATTCTCGGCTTCCAGATGGGCTGTCCCAGCAGGGGCCTTTAGTGGAAAGAACACTTTACATGGAATCCAAATAGATAGAATAGTCACCTGTCATAAAACCTTGGTCTCAAAGTCCTGGCTCTGCTACTTACTAGTTGCAAGCCACTGGGCCGGATTCTTAACAAATCTCAGCCTTGAATTCCTTACCTGTAAAATGGAGCAGGAATCCCTAGGTAATGCAAACAGTTAATATTTTTGGCTGTTAATCAAAGAGTCTCATCCAATGTCACAGAATACTTTATATACAAACTATTGAATGGGGAACTAACTTGCTCTGTAAACTTTTAACTAAAGCACAATAAAAAATTAAAAGAAAAAAGAAAAGGTGGGAGGCCAGAGTCCACCCAGAGGTGCTTTAGAAGGAAGGCCTGGCGACCTACATCTGGAAAACCAGCCACTGGCAATCCCATGGGGGGCAGCGCTACTCTGACACACACGGGTTCCCCATGGCTGGAACCAGCTCCATGGCAACCTGTCAAAATGGATGTGGTCCTGCATCCTGGGACCATGGGGAGCAATCCACTGTGCTGAGGAAAGCACTTTTTCAACCATAAAATATGCACAGCCCTTAGATCCCACTTAGAGATGACTGTCCTGCCCGGGCAACTTGGCTAACAGCTGTGGCTAGAACTCTCTACCCAGAGTGAAGTAAAGAAAGCAAGACAGGCCACCTCCTGCAAATGTGGGGCTAATGGTAACTAAAATTTAACTTCTAAGCCTTTCTCAAATTGTCCACTCTTTTGTTTTTCTTGAAATATCCAATTTTGAATTATCGACAAGGTTTCCCATATTACAGGCAATACAACTCTATCTGTCACTTACCATAAAGATAGACATCCTCTTGTTTTTTGAGCCTCTGCCTTCAATATGCCATGTCACAATGACAATCAAGGGTCAGAATAATGTCCATAGCAATCTTGCCAAAAGACCTAGGTGACATTACTGAACTTTATGAGGCTATGGGAGTAGGGCCTAAAAGTTTGCTGATACGTCCTAGAGAGGTAACAAGAAAAGCAGGCTCAGTAGAATCTTTAAAAGCAAACAAACCCTGATGGCCAAACCTAGGGTGACCAGCTGCTTGCGTTTGCCCTGGACTGAAGGTTTTCTTGGAATGCAAGACTTTCAGTGCTAATGCCAGGCCCCATGAAGACCATGTAAATCAGAATTCCCAGAAGGGGTGCAGCTGTGCAGAGGCGTTTTTTAAAAGCTCCCCAGGTAATTCTAATTAGAGTTGTGAACTGCTGGGCCCACTAAACCAGGGCTTCAAACATGTTAATCACATGCTTAACAAAATCCCTGGGTGATTATATATGTATATATCTAAGAATGCTGGGGGATCTTGTTAAACTGTAGGTTTTAATTCATTATATCTGGGGTGGAAAAGCAAATTCTCAGCAGAGGGTCAAACCAGAAGGAACCGGTTTGAAGGCCTACACTAAACTTTCAGGTTTGTGCCTCTCCCCCACGTTCTGGATATAACAACGAGAAAGAGATTATACTGAGGCTGTTCAGAGCTAAGATTATGAAAGGGGAGGTAAGCGAACTGTGACATATGGCTTTCTTCTTCTTTTAAAATACTTTTTCCTCTTTTCTAAGGTCAGGAATTAACATCCTGGAATATTAGCAGATAGGATGGTTAAGGGAAAGCAAAAATAAGCAGTGTAATAGCTCTGAGCCCACACAACTGCAGTCCTGACCAGTTCATGCTCAGCAGAACACACTCTGAGCTTATGTATTTCACCTTCTGAATGCACACTAGAACTCTCTAGCTGACACCCAGTTGCCTGTCATGCCTCCTGCTTCTCTCACCGGAAGGGCTGATTCCTGCAGCATCCTCTTGGCACTGTTCACAGCCTGTGTTGTTGTTTACCTGTTAAAGGTTTCACACGGCTCCCTAGAGGGTGGAAGCTTGAGGGAAAGAAGCAAGCTGTGCATCTTAATATCTTGGCAGGCTAGTGGCTGCTCCATCACTCATTCATTCAGCAAAAATTCTCTGAGCACCCAGTGTGTACTTCTTCAAAGTAGTACGTGATCTGGAACTTGAGTTTGTATGTAATTGCATTTTCTTGTTATACCAACTCTGAGAAATAGGAGATTCCCAGTTGATATCCTCTGTGAGGCTAGGGATGGCTTACTTATCCATACTCTTTAATATACCAGTTGTGATAGTTGGAGCTGTGTGTCAACTTGGCTGGCCCCCAGTTCTGTGTGGTTGTTCCCATGATGGGATCAGATGACTGTGTTCTGAGTGGCCAGTCTGCCCAAGGGGAGTTCCCCTAGGAGTGTGGCCTGCTTCCAAGATATCCAGGGACATCCTGGGAAGAGACACATTCTTTGAGGGATTGGAATCCTGGTGTGCGGACTACAAACTTCCGTGAGGGAGCAGCCCACCGCTCAGCCTGGAGATCTTGGATTTGCCTTTTGTTGGAGTCAACAATCAGTGTACTGCCTGCCAGCCTTGAATTTCTCGGCCCCCTGCGCTTATGGAAGCTAAGGCTGCCGCCAGCCCGTTTCCTCCAGAGACTTGGACTTTCCAGCTTTTATACGCTTGTGAGCCATCTTCCTAAGATAAATTTCTATCTCTCTCTCTATAAATATATATATACACTTGCTGGTTTTTGTGTTTCTCTAGAGAACCCAATCTAACACACCAGTGGAAGAGCAGTAATTGCTGGGAGATCTCAAAGGTGGTCAAAGGCCCTGGAGCGGGTTCTCTCACTAAACATGTAGATTATGTGTTCACAAGCAGTATCAAGTTCCAGCCCCCACCCCCACCCCCGCCACCATCTCCCAAAGCATATGAGGTCCAGAAAAGTCACTAAATTGATGGACTATCCAGTATTGGTGGCTTAATACTGGATCTTTAGCCTGATGTTGTTGTAGATCTTGTATGCAAATAAATTATGTATATACCCTTAACTAGCTGGTGGCACAGTGCCTAAGGCATCTGACTACTAACCAGAAGGCTGGCAGTTGAAACCCACCAGCTACTCCTCACTCAGAAGGAAGACTGGGCAATCTACTTCTGTAGAGATACTGCCTCCGAAACCCAAGGAGGGGTTGCTATGAGTCGGAATCGACTTGATGGCAGTGAATTTGTTGTTGTTTTTTTTGTTTGTTTGTTTAGAGGTACTATGGTTTCAGACCTTAGTTTGCCATGATATTCTACACAAAAAAAAATTGTGTGTTTTAGGAAGGCTGCTGTTGCCTATGCTCTATGTTGCTGCCACACATGGCCACAGTTCAGCAATCATTACTCAGTCACCACCCGGAGATACCAATTGCATTGTGGGAAATCCTCAGGCCCCTTCAAAACCTTAGCACAGATCCAGGATGGGCATCCACGGACAGAAAAGAGGATGAGCCTCTTTAGGATCCCCTTACACAACTAATGTAAATATCCAAAAAGTACGGATATTACTTCTTCTAAAAATAAAATACATCTTTTTCCCAATTGTAAAAAAGAAAGAATGTGCTTATTCTGGAAATGAGGGAAAAGCACAAAAATTAAAAATAAAAATCAGTCAAATTCTCAATTCTCTGAGATAACCACTGAATATTTTGGTGGATAGCCTTCAAAGCTTTAATTTTTAAATGCACATACATTTATAGTAAGCACTAGTTCATGCAGTACATATCTGTCATATTTTTAAAAACAAATTGTGAGCATTATCTCCAGAAATATAATTTAAATGATTACACTGTATTCCATTATACAAATGAACCATAATTTTAAATCCTCCCACTTTTTTTTTTTTAAACGCCTGTAACTATTGCTTGGCGTATTGCCTAAGGCATTTGACCGCTAACCAGAAGGCTGGCGGTTCAAACCCACCAGCCACTCCTCAGAAGGAAGGTTGGGCAATCTACTTCCATACAGATACCGCCTTGGAAACCCAAGGAGGGGTCGCTATGAGTCAAAAACGACGTGACAGCAGTGAGTTTAGTTTTTGTTTTTATTACTGTTGCTGCCATGAAAATCCTTGTGGATAAATTTTTTATCAGCATCATTTAAGGCTTTTTTAGAATAAACTCCTAAAAGGGAGTTCTTGGGTGAAAAGCAAGGACCAGTTTTAAGGCTCTTGATTTGTTTGGCCAAACTGCTTTCCATAAATAGTGGTTCCAAGTCACACTTCCCCCTATAGGGTCCGAGTGGGCCTATCTGTAACATTCTTGCAAGTATCAAGCATTACCTTTTAAAATTCTTGAGCTGATTATTTTAATGCCAACTCTCTACTGCTGTACTTTTAAGAGTGTCAAGATAATGGTGACATAATCCCATGTAGGTTTCCAAGGGGAGGAGGCCTCTCACATAATCAGTTGGATTTGACCTCCGTTGAGGGTTTGTTTCAGACCTGGAACATTAATCTGCTTCTAGCCTTTTCCTCTGCAAATTAAACTTCTGGGTGGAATTGACCCTGACAGGCTCATGTGTCCCTCTGAGCTCTCACTGCTCTCTGAAAGGAAGCTCTCACAGGCAAGGGAAGTCACAGCCATCCTCCCCTGTGAACAAGGAGTTCTAGCACCTGCTGGGCCTCACCTTGTTCCTGGCAAGTACGTTGGCTCCTGCCTTAATGAGCAGCTTGGCCGACTGGCTGAACCCATGCCAGGACGCTTCATGCAGGGCCGTATTTCCATCCTAAGGAACATACACAAGGAGAGAAAGCATATTACCTACTACCTGATCCATCTCATTAAATTCTCCAAAGGATCTAGAAAATTATCCTCTTCTTCTCTTGGGTCCATTCTAGTGTATTTTCATGGCACACCACAGGGCCTTTCTCAACTGGGGTTTCTCATCTGAACCACAAAACACAGAAAATGACTTGAGTGGCTGCTTTCTCAATTCTCCCAGAAATGGTGCCATCCTAGATGCTTAGAAGAGAATTGAGTTCATGACAAACAACTAAGGGTATTAGGGATTGTTTTGGTTACCTACTGCCTCTCTAGGAGCTCTGTTAGCATAGTGCCTAAGGCACTTGACTGCTAACCAGAAGGCTGGTGGTTCAAACCCACCAGACACTCCTCGGAAGGAAGATGGGGCAATCTACTTCCGTAGTGATACCACCTCGGAAACCCAAGGAGGGGTTGCTATGAGTTGGGTTCCAACTCGACGGCACATAACAACAACAAGTGCCCCTCTAACAGAAATATACCGCAAGTGAGATGGCTTGAAGAAACAGGAGTTTATTCTCTTACAGTTTGGAGGCTTTAAGTCTGAGTTCAAAGTACCAGGCTCTAGGGGCTGGATGAAAGCCCCTCAACCTTGGACTTCAGCTCTGCCTCCTGCTCCCAGCCCATTGAAGCTGGAGGCTTTTCTTCACTTAGGCAGCTACTCGCTGCTGACGCTGACAAGCTCAAGGTTGACAAGTAAAAAGGCACAGTCCCAATGTTACCAAACCACACAGCTGGCTATGAACTCAAGTCCATTGAAAGTCCCAAGGTCGGCAGAGCATGGCAGGCTGCTGAACAACGACTTGGCTACATGCAGGGTTCAAGCATGCCATAAGATAGAGAGCCCAAGCCTTCTCCTTATATATAGGAAGAAGACTACATCCCTAAGGCAGCTACTCAGCTGCTCACAGTAGATTCCACCATGGAATTGATTACCAGTCTCATCATGGGGAATACTACATCCAGCTACCCAGCCGCTCAACCAGGCCCAGCCAAGTGACACACAAACTTACCTACCACAGGGATTAAGTCTCTCCCTGTGAACCCCAGTTGAGAAAGGCTCTAGGGCCATCCAAAGCTCACAGTTCACAGAAAGCACTATCAGGACAAGGTCCATTCATTCCCACCTCCATTGCCCTTTGGGATCCGCTGTGCTCCAGGCATCAGTGAGGACCTTGCAGAAATGGGGCAAATGAAGGGTCTAGCTTTGTAAATTCCAAGGGCTCAAGGGCCTGATAGGTAGATTTCCCCCTCTTCCGCTCCCAAAATTTAATTTCACTCAAAAGCCTCTGGGCCCCAAACAAATGAACAGGCACTCAGGAAACAGTGATTTGTAAGTAACATAAGCAAGTATCCTCAATATTTGGCTTTTAAATGAAAATTAGCCAGTTAATAAGCATAGTTCTTATTTGCTTGTTGTTGTTGTTGTTGTCATGTGCCATTGAGTCAGATCTGACTCACAGCGACCCCTCCTTGGGTTTCCAAGGCAGTATCACTACGGAAATAGATTGCCAAACCTTCTTTCTGAGGAGTGGGTGGTGGGTTTGAACCGCCAGCCTTCTGGTTAGCAGTCAAGTGCCTTAGGCACTATGCTACCAGAGCTCCTCTTATTTGCCCCAAAAGCAAACAAAGCTACTATCATCAAATCGATTCTCACTCAGAGCAAGTGAGGTGGGGCCAGGAAGTGAGGCATCACCAGGAGGGAGAAGGGTGGAGAGAGGTTAGGATCCCCTCCATGGTGATTACAGGTCAGCCAGCTGGGGGCAGTGCAGAGGTGTGTGCCAATTATGTCGAAGCTCTGGTTCAGACTTTTATTCCAAGCACACCAGCATCCTCTGGAAAGAGTTAGAAACATGCACAAAAAGAGGCAAGGCTTCTGACAGCCAGGGGGAAAACTCTCAATGGACATGGTACATGCATGCACACATCAGTAGCCCGGGTACAGGAGGGTCTGGGATGGTAGCAGCATGTGTGGCGCTGGCAGTGGAAGTGACTGGATAAAGCAGGAAGCAGGAAGCAAAAGGAAATATAGGTGATGAATGGAAGGGGGCACGGGTGAGGGGATCATGTTCGGGGTGGTAATGATCTGCATTCTTGATCTGGGTGCTGGGCACACAGGTGTGCTCAGGCAGGGGAAACCCTTATTTGTGCATCCTTCTGTATGTATATTATATGCCAATGAAAAGTTGGTTAGAAAAAAAGCAAACAGAGAGTCTGGGGGCCCAGCCGTTTCTCCCACCCTCTTTCAGGCCTATACAAGTCATTATTTCTAATTTTTTAAAAAAACTAATAATGATTTATGTGGTTGCCACTGATGCTACAACAATGGGGGAAACAATTCAAAAATATAGTTTGCTAGGACACCGGGTATCCTTCCCAATGCAAATCTGATCTGATTTCATCATGTTAAAAATCATGAATGATAAGGCTCAGGAATATAAAATCTTGAGTACTAGTGTTTCTTTCCAAGTTGGAATCTCCCAGCTGCCCAGGGATTGTATGCGTGCCCAGCCAGTGCTGCAGGGCGGCAGGGAGCCACGCCCCCCTTACCTTGTCCTGTCTGTCCAAAGCACACCCCTCCTGGATGAGCGCCGCAATGACCTCGGTGTTCCCCACCACTGTGGCACGGTGCAGTGCAGTCTGGTCCCCCTGTATGTGACACAGAGGCAGAAACCAGTGGTCAGTTCTCCCCACCAGATCCCACACCACTTCTCCAAGCTGACACGAGGACATCCCTCATCCCCACACAAAGCAGACCAGTGACCTCAAAGAAGGACTTGGTTACCACGAGTGAGGCAGGCTTTGCGGTCTAGTTAGTAGACAATGCACACATCCTGGCCTGACTGCGAACTCAAGCACAAGAACAGTGCTCAGCTGCAGAGCCAACCTTAGCAGGATGGGGCTATCACACCAAAGAAGAGCAGGTCTGAGAGCCATACTGGGTGAGCTGACCAGTTAAACCAGTAATGCCTAGAGTGTCTATAACTACTGGGCCCTCTAGTCCCCCGCCTACCCAGAGCAACTGCTACCCAGCTATGTCAATGTGCAGCACCCATGATTTGATGATGGGTGTACAATTTGACTTGACTCGTATTAGCCAAGACCTCCACAGGAGTTTACTCGTATTTCCTCTGAGGACCCTAGGGACTGCAAGGACCAAAGCCATCCATATCCACAGCCCCTCCTATCAGCACATACATCTAAGTAGCCTCCTCTGATTTTTCTTGACAACATCCTCACTGATTTATGCTGCGTTTGACCCCTTTCTCTGTGGTCAGATTCCTGGGACTGCCAACTACCCCCTGTCTCACTCAGGGTGCCTAAGGGAACTTGATTCTTTCCAGTAACTGCACTTGAGAGGACTAAACACTCCCAGAGTAAGAAGGTCAAGATGTAACAAGAGAGTTCTGAAATCTCTAAGAGCATGCTTTATTTCTTGACACGTACTCAAGAAGTCAAGTCGAGGCAAATCAAATCAAGCCATCCAAATCAGTACAGTTCAAATGGAGACATAAGTGAACAGCGTGGAAAACTTCCAGTGGCAAGGAGTGAGCTCAGGGCAGGGAAGGGGTCAGAAGACCTGAATATGGTCCTGACTCACATAATGAGTAATGTAGAACCTTGGAAGGGACCTGTCACCTCACTAGACCCTCAGGTTCTTCATCTGTTAAAGGAGAGGGATGATTCTCAAGGTCCCTCCCTTCCCTGCTTTGATTCGGTTGCTAAGAGTTTCACATAAATGAAGTTTGCTGACAGGGCAATGAAGGGGCAAAGTACACCCTCAGGGGTGTCCTTGGTTCTTAGCCTGAGAGAAGAAAGAGGGAGACTATTAAAAGATAGAAAACTCAAGTTTTGTTTTTTCTTTTTTTAGAAAAAGGGATATACTGTTATCTGTAAATAACCACAATGAAACATCAATTCTATTTACTAATCTCCTTGGGATTTATAGCAGTCAATAATACATATTAAAAACATTAAATTCTAGTCAAAATTCAAATTCATTTTCTCAAAATTAAAAAGATTTCCCTTTAAAAATCCATGAGGGGAAGTGATTTTTATTTTCTTCTTGATGCTTTTTAATATTTCCCAATTTTTTATATTTAGCACATATAACATTTAGCATCAAAAAGAAACTGCTACTTATTAAAAATCTAAGCAGTAACAATATGGCAATAATGGTCCTGTCCAATTCTCAGGCTCTCTTGTCACTGTTTACTAAGAGCATTTAGGAAATGTCCACAGTGATAGGGTCAAGACCTCCAGCTCCATTACAGCTTCATCCACTGTCCTCAGTATTTCTGCCATCACTGACCCTCCCCCTCTGGGCATCCTAACCTAGTATTCCCATTACAAATCAGGCTTAGACTGGGGTCTCTTCTCGTCCACCTTTCCAAATCCCTTATTCAAACAGGACCTTCCCATGCCACGTGGCCAAAAGACGAATGTGGACACTGGCCCAGCAGTTGCAGGAGGTGTGCCACGCCATCATGTGATCCACTTCAAATACCTTAGGAAGTATTTCCAGACGAGGCATGCTTAATGGCCAAAATAAGTAATTATGTGAGAAACTTCCCCAGTCTTAATTAACTTTTTGAAACTTGTATAAGAATTTCTAAGACTGCCCATTTTCCTACCAGAATGGTAACAGACTTTCCAAAATTGACTTCAAGTGCAACTTACACACTAAGCTGATGAGAAGGATGGCACTGTCCTGTCAGTGGGACTCAGCACACTCTCTCGGGGTAAATACTGACTTGGTGAGATTTCTATTTGCTGTTGTTGCATCAAGTCGGCCCTGAACTCATGATGACGCAAAATGAGACCAGACATAGTATTTTCATTGGCTAATTTTCAGAAGAAGGAGCTCTAGAGGTGGTTAAGGCATTTGGCTGCTAATCAAAAAGTTAGTGGTTTGAATGCAGCCATTCTGTGGACGAAAGATGAGGCAGTCTACTTCTGTAAAGATTTACAGCCTTGGAAACCCAATGGTCTTTGCTGTGAGTCAGAATCAACTTCGTAACAGCGAGTTTTTTTGAGTGAGAATTTTCAGAAGTAGGTAACCAGACTTTTCTTCCCAGTAGGTGTTGGTCTGGAGACTCTACTGAAGCCTTTTCAACATAATAGCAACACACAAGCCTCCACTGACAGAGGGGTGGTGGCTGCACTTGAGGTACCTGGGCCCGAATCAAACCCAGGGCTCCTGCACGGAAGGGGAGAATTCTCCCACTGAACCATCACTGCTCTCTTCTACTTGGCAGAGGCCTTTTAATATTCCTACAAACTGCCGACATTAGTACCCAATTAGTACCCCTTGGACCAATCACAACAACTTTTTTACATAATGAAACTCACCATTCTGTATGTGCTGTGCATAAAGTGGTGACTGACAACCCCTGAACACATGGGGAGTGTCAGCAACTCTTGTTGTAGAGATCACTGTACAAAGGGATTCTGCTGGGAGGACACAGTCTACCCTAAGCCTTGGGTTAGCTTCAATGTTGTATCATGTTTCACAAGTTGTGCTCTTAAATCATGACTCAAGGCAGCTTTGAAGTTGTAATAGCACCATTCATTATTTATTATTACTTGCTTTCATCATGAATCTGCTGTATTTGCTTCCCTCAAGATAACTTTCTTTTGTGAAATTCTAGCTCAATCTAGAACCTAAACCTAATGTTCAGTTCCATCTTCAGGTGTAAATTTCTATCCGGATTAATGTGACTTAAGGATAACTAAATACTTGAGTGAGATGTGTGACTTGTGTGAGGAGTTTTGTGCTGTCATTTTATGATCAGTTTCAAATACCTTAGGAAATATTTCCAAATGAGGCATACTTAATGCTTAAAAAAGCAATTATATAAGACCCTGCCCAAGTCTTAATTTCGTAAAACTTCTCTAAGAATTTCTAAGACTCCGTTTCCTTACTGGAATGGTGATAGAGTTTGCAGAAATTGACCTCAGAAGCTGTATGAATACAAATTTTCCGAAGCCGACTGGGACACGGGTTTCCTCTAGTTCCCCTTTCTTGGTGGAGACCTTTTAACCACGCTGCCTGTCTCCAGTCCACAATGCCCTCTCCCATCTACACTGACCTCAGACAGAGATCTCCCTCCAGAGCAAAGGCCCTGCATCATCAGTCAGGTAAACACTGCTAGGATGCCCAGCTAATTCATGGCACATGTTTGGGCCAGAATCTAAACTGTCAATGCTCTTTAGACCCACCCCAAGTTGTTTCCAACCTGTGAAAGCCAATTAGCTTTAGAACCAGCCTTAAAAAAGACCAAGTGCCTCTGAGGGATTGACACTGCCTTTTTAGGGAATCATTAAGCTAAGTGCTTACCATAGTGTCTTGGCCTCCATAAACCAAACCGAACGCACTGATATCAAGTCGATTCGACTCATAGCCACCCCTCCTTGGGTTTCCGAGGCAGTATCTCTAGGAAATAGATTGCCCAGTCTGCCTTCTCAGGAGTGGCTGGTGGGTTTGAACCGCCAGCCTTCTGGTTGGCAGTCAAATGCCTTAGGCACTATGCCACCAGAGCTCCCTTAGCCTCTATAGACACCCAAGAGGTATCCATTAACTACAAAGCAAAAGAAGGAAAAATGCTGCAGCTGGAAACTTGAAGAGCCAGCAACTCTGAAGTCTGGCACTTTGATTTGAAACATGCTGATCTGTTTGCAAAGTACATGAGTTACAGTCTTTAACATTTCTGAGACGTTGGGATTTTTAGAGGTTTGCAAACTCTGAGGACTGAATCTTTATTTTGAAATACTTTTACTTTTCCTCCACTACATGGTGAAAGAGTGAGCAAAGTGTGTGCAGATTTCAAAGCCAAGCTCATGGAAGAAAACCCAGTCATGCAAGGGTGAAGCTGCTTCTATCCAGGAAGAATCTCTTTGATGCAGCACAGGCAGACATGTTGCAAGGAAGCTCAAACAGGGCGGGTACACAAAGCAAGCTGCTGACCTCTTTTTCTCTTTCTGATCTCCTAGGGTTCTTCCTAGTTTTTCTTATCAAGGTTTTCTTATTTTTTTCCTCATTCATGCCTTTTACTGCAGCCACAGGATTCTGGGATATTTCAGAAGTGGGGCTTGTATGATTGTTCATTGACCAATCAGAGATGACGTGAGAGCCCCAATGAGGGTTGACAAGATTGGCAGGAAGCGAGAGCGAATTTGCTCTTGGCGTTGCATACTCTAAAGAACTGGTTTCCACGGGTTGAAATTCATAATAATCCCACTCCAGGCCACTGGAGGTCATTCTTCAACTAACTGTCAGTCATTAACATGACATTAAGATCTGGATCTGTAGAATATGAAGTTAGGAGTGAATTCTTCATTGCATTAATATTCTCTGTTTTTATTCATCATCCAAGATAGGGAACTTCTGAAATAATTTTCTTTTAAATAAGTAATTCCCCAACTTTTTAAAGAATATACATGAAAAGCTTTCTTCTTGAAATTCTTGATTATGTTTCAATGGCTCATCATCAATAGGTATGATAAATACATAGAAGACAAACATAGATCATATACTGGCAAATGCATTACTTCAGAACTAAACCAAACCAAACCCACTGCCATCAAATGGATTCCAACTCATAGTGACACTACAGGACAGACTAGAACTGCCCCCATCACATTTCCAAATCAGTAAATCTTTACAGAAGCAGACTGTCTTGTCTTTCTCCCATGTAAAGATTGCTGAATTCGATCCCTTAACCACTGCACCACCAGAGCTCCTTTCTACCTCTCCATTCCTAATTATTTTTACACTTTTTTTGTTGTTTTTGTTTTAATTAATCTGGGAGAAGTAACGTACATATTATCTAGGGCAAGGAAAAGATGCAAAAAATAAACAATTCCAATAAATGAAAGACACTGTTCCTGTCTAAAAGTAGAGATGACTTTCCTTCTATACACTTGACTCACTTTAGCTACTCTGATGGCTAATTTTATGTGCTAATTTAGCTGGGCTTTGGTTCCTGGTGGTTTAGCCCAACACTAGACTTGTTGCTGTTCTGCAATGTAATCTCACATATTATAATATAATGTAATTGCCTTCCACAATGTAACCTAATGTAATCAATTGATCAGTTAAAAAAGAATGTTTCCTAAAGGTATGTTCTGCCTCCAGACTATAAATAGATGTTTTGGCAGAACTAGCTCTTGCCACTCTGCACTCTTCCCATCACTTTATCTACAGATCTCGGGAGGCAAGTGTATAAATCTCCAGCCTGCTTCCTGACCTACAGATTTCAGACTTGCCAGCCCTATAACTGAGCCAACCTCTTGAAGTAAATAAATTAATCTCCGTCTCTCCCCCTGCCCTCTATTTTAACTCAAAGTCTATCTTTCTGTCAAGTTGGTCTCCCAACACCTGGCAACCCCACGTATTACAGAGTAGAATTGCACCACTGGGTTTCCTGGCTGTAAACTTTATGGAAGCAGTTTACCAGGCCTTTCTTTCGCAGAGCCACTGGGTGGGTTCAAACTCACAACCTTTGGGTTAGCAGCCAATCACAAACCTCTTGAGCCAACTAGGCTGAGAGAAGAAACATATATATATATATATATATATATATATATATATATATATATATAAGAAAAAGAAACATATATATATATATATATATATATATATATATATATATATATATCAATCACTGGTTCTGTTTCTACAGAGAACCCTGACTAAGACAACTACCTTGTCAGAACACCTGCCTGTTTTATTTCACACCTTGCCTGATATGAAAAGCAGCAGTTCTAGGAAATTAATGAGGTTTTTGCTGCATGAGAACATAATGCTACTTGGAGCTCAGAACTTGAGGCAGGGGCTGGTGGTATTGGGTTGGGATAAGTCTGCACATCTGGCATTGCAGCCTTGCCACCGAGGCAAAGAAGAGCTTTAATTATGCAAAGAGAAGATAAGATGCATCCAAACATGTTTGCACCAGCAACTCAGTGCCTCACCTTCTCTGTGATCAGAATCTTCTCTCCCTGTGTTTTTGCTCCTATCATCTAAGGATATCATATAATCAGGAATGTTATGATGGCTACAGTGCAGGAAAATAAAAAAAGGATTATGATCCAAGGTACAAATCAACAGCTTAAAGCTATATCAGCATCTTTTGAAAACAACATTCTTGATGACCCAACAGATTCCAGATATAACCAGAGATTTATGAAAGAAACTGGACAACTTCCTGCCTATGTATAAAACAATGCCATGTTTTGATATTTCACTGAAAATGTTGACCTTGATACTTGTGAATGTGTTTGCCAAGTTTTAGGACATTACACACAGACCCAAGAAAAACTGGAAGCACTTTTGTAAACCACACTCTAGCACACCTGAGGGTCTGAAATTTGAGTGACACTCTATAACCATAGGTAGGAAAAAAAAGTAAATTAGGAAGAGGCCGTGAAGAGTTAAACCCTCCAAGATATTACTATGTGCCATACATAAGTTCTTATTTGAGTCCCATCACACATATTAGAGTTGGAACAGATTCTGAAAATAGTTTCCTGTTATATGATCATAGGACCTTTTCCTAACAGCTGACTAGTGGACAATTTTCCTGATCCTGTCTGTGTCTTCTCCTTGAGAATCCATCTTCCTCCAAAGAGGGCACTATGTGACACTACCCCAACAGATACTCTACGTCAGCACCTTGGTCACTGCTGTTTGACTCAGGAATGGATACTTCAGAGAAACCAATCAAAGTCCCTCTTTCAATAATTTGAATGAAGAGGCTCAGAGACCTGGTTGAGTTGATAGCCAAGTCTCAATAATGATGATGGAGCACAAGAATAAATTTTTATTGGAAGGCTTATTTCTCTTGGATGCCATGAGATCTATGTCCTTTTATTTCTCCTTGAATTAATTTGAACAGTTTTTTTCAACAAAATTTATACTAATTTACAGAAATCAAAGTAAGAAAGAGAAAAAATTAAGTTTTTAGCCCCACTTCTTCAGTGGTAAGCTTGACACACATTTCCTGCAGGCCCTGCCCACACTATGTGTGGGGGGGTGTGGTATTCCTTATACGGGGAGCAGACGCAGGCAAACTGTCCTTCAGAATTTTATGTTGTTATTATGTGCCATTGAGTCAGACCTGACTCATAGTGAGCCCTCCTTGGGTTTCCAAGGCAGGATCACTACGGAAGTAGATTCCCCAACCATCCTTCTGAGGAGTGGATTGGGAGTTTGAACCGCTAGCCTTCTGGTAAGCAGCCAAGTGCCTTAGGCACTATGCATAAGTAAGGAATGAACTATGACTGGGAAAACCAACCCATGATCACCAAACTCTAAGTTACTCCTGAGGAAGGTTTTTGGAGAAGACTTTCCAATTGAAATTCTTCTTCCCATCATGGGGGACCAAGACGGAGATAAAAAGTGCTAGGAGGCGTCTACCACCCTCCCACCTCATAGCTTGTTATGCCTTGTACTGTGCATTTCTAAGCAGACAAACTCACCTGCCAACCCGCCCCCAATAGAACAATGGCTTCTACTCACATCATCCTGGACATCGAGATCACAGCCAGCCTTCAGCAAGATCTGGACCACAGAGAAATGGCCCTTATTGGCAGCAAGATGCAGGGGGGTCCGGCCATGCTGTGAATGCAAAGGAAGCACACATTAAACCACTCCCTTGAATGGCAGAAGGCTAAAGCAAGCTTTGCATAGAGGCTTTTAGGGAGATCACTTCCCCTGCTTCCTTAGTTTGGCAGATGATTCTTACAGATGTATCCAAAATCCAAGTTAATCTCAGTAAATCCCAGTTATTGGTGTGTAATGAATGAACCAAATATGCTCAAAATGTAAAAACTTCCTTTAGGACTTCATTTCTATTCCCCACTCATCAAACTTTATAAGATAGTTGCTAATGAGAGGTTTCATGTGTTCTCTTATTTTCCCACTGGTGCTAATAACCTAAGAGATCATGATAAGGCCACAATGAATGTGGCCAGGCCAAGCGGTAAGAGAACAGCAAAACAACAAGCTAATCAGTCTGAGAAAATCCAATTATTTATTTACTTAGAAAGCGCTGAGCAAACTGATGGGGAAAGGTTCTCCCCATTTTAAAAAACAAATTTCAAAATCACGAAGGATTTCAGGCATTCGAAAATATACCAGTTGCTGTCAAGTTGATCCCATCTCATGAAGACCCATGTGTGTCAGAGTGGGACTGAGCTGCACAGTGTTTTCAAGGGCTGATTTTTCTGAAGTAGATTGATTGCCAGGGCTTCCTTTTAAGGATTTTCTGGGTGAGCTTGAACTGCAACTATCAGTTAGCAGAGAAACATGTTAATCACCTGCATTACCCAGGGGCACCATTCCAAAATATAAATAATATTTTAAAATGTATATCTCCACCAACCATTTTGAGAAAACACTAATGGCCCTTGTGAACGCCTCTCAAATCTCATTTCCCCTACAACTCCAAAGGTAACCACTATACCAAATTTGGTATTCATCATTCCTTTGCATTTCATTATATTTTTACTACATTTGTAGCAAACATCAATATGTAAGTATTGTTTGGCTTATCTCAAATCCTATATAAATGGTATTAAGTTGTATATGTCCTTTTGCAATTTTTTTTGCCCAACATTAAAATTTGGGGGGGTGGGTTACATATTGTTGTCCCAAGTAGTTTCAGTTCATTTATTCATTATTATTTCATCCAGTCTCCTACTGATAAGCAACAGGTTGTCTCCAATGGTTTGCAAAACAATTGTTGGAGTTCATTAGACCCATTGTTGGGTCATGTTGTTGTTGTTGTTGTTGTTATGTGCCATCGAGTCGGATACGACTCATAGCGACCCCTCCTTGGGTTTCCGAGGCAATATCACTACGGAAGTAGATTGCCCCGTCTTCCTTCCGAGGAGTGGCTGGTGAAGACCTTTCCTTTCAACTGTCCTCACTATGCAGGTGCCTGAGGTTATCACACTGAGAGTGACACCCAGAATAAAGAACACTATGCAGTGTAAATCAACTTCTATCAAGAGAGTTTACTTTGCTGAATTCCTTAGTCCCCAAATTCTAAAGGGCACTTTATGTTCTCTTTACTTCCTTCCTCAAGTTTCACAGTAAGGAAATGTTTCCACCTCCTTCTTGGAACATGACTTTAGCTATGGTCTCCCACACATACTGATACATACTCTTAATGATTAAGAGTCTTAAGGCCCATTTACCATCTTAAAAAAATGTCTCAAAGATTTTATTGATATTCTAGCAAGATAAATCCCTTATGATATTAATAAAGCTCCATTTGCTGTAAGTAACTACCTGTGGAGGAACACAGACATAACAGATGAAAGGACCTGAATTTATAACCATGAAATACAACCAAAGGAAAGGAATGGTTCTAGCAACAGAAAAAAAAGAAGTCGGAACTCACGTTAAAATTAGAATCTTTAATTAAGAAAAAAGTTACTGTCAAGAAAATGAGCTATAAATAACTTTCATAAGAAAGGCACATTATGAGACGAGATAAAAAGAGTGACCTTCCTTCACTGGCGATTATTCTCAGCTGCGAGCTATTTAACCTTGATTTGTTAAAGGGAATATGTGAGTTCCAAAATTGAGTCATTTGACTTGTATCAAAATGATCAGGCCAGATCTGAGCCCTGGCCCCATCGTAGCTGTAGCTTTTCCTTATTTCCTTGCAACAATCCAACCCTTAGACAGACTTAATTACATAACAAAGGAAATATTTATCTCTGTGGTTATACTAAAGATATGGAAAGAATGTTCTTAAAAGATGGTCTGAACACAAGATCCTTATCAGAAATCCCCTCAGCAGCCAAAAGGAAATGTTTTAAGATAACTACCTTGTGACCATACCATAAAATCCTTCTTGTCAAGTATTTAAACTAACCAATCCAAATAGCCCACATTTGGATTTCCAACCAATCACTATAAAACTCCCACACTTTGAGTTGTCTCGCCTCCAGCTTCCCTGATCTTACAACTTCCAATCAAAAATGTTGTACTTTTAGTCCTAGATTTTACCTCACAAATAAGCCTCTGTTACTCCACTATTTTTGAGAACTTGATTTCATTTGTGAGATCAGATATGTCCCTGGTTCAAACTGTTTTGAACTTTGATTAAATCTATCTGTTTTTATTTTAACAGAGTACACATTCTTACTCATTGACATTTCCTAGTGTCAGAAATGGGATTCAAAGGTGCATTTCCTCCAGTGGCTACCAGGGCATTGAGGACCTGGAACTCTGGCACCAAGCACAAGCTTTTAAAAGAAAATTATTGTGATTTGCATGAAAGCTTACAGAGCAAATTCACTTTCCATACAGTAGTTCATACACATTTTGTCTCATGACATTGACTGCAATTTCCCACAATGAAACAGCTCTCTTTCCACTCCCCCCCCCATAGCTACCTCTTCCCTGTGTCCTTCCTTCCCATGCACTCCTGCACCCCCCAGCTGTCTCCCTCTGTGTACACTGAACTTCTAGTCTCCCATGATTAATCTCTGCAAGGAGTATACCTACCTAATGTAAATGTTCAACTCATATGCTTGTCTTATTTGGCTGAAAGCCATAGGAGTGGGTTCAATTCCAGACCTGAAGGGCAGCTAGGGGCCATAGTCTCAGGGGTTTCCCTAGGCTCTATCAGAGCAGCAAACCTGTTTTTGTCTTTCTTTAAAAAAAAAAAAGTCATTTTGAGTTTTGTTCCACATTGTTCTCCCACTCTATCCAGGATCTCTTTCATAGATTTCCCCTCTGAGTAGTTGCCAGTGGTAGCTGGGCACCATCTATTTCTTCTGGTCTCATGGTCATATAGGCTGAGAATCACATGCTTTACTAATCCTTTGGACTAATTGTTTCCATGTGTCTCTGGTTTTCTTCATTCTTCTTTGCTCTGGACGAGGAGAGACCCATCGTTGCATCTAGATGGGCACTTGCAAGCTTTTAAGATCCCAGTCGCTACTCACCAAAGTAGGATGTAGAACAAAGTTTTTGTATAGTATGTTATGTCAATTGAGCTTGATGACCCCTGCAATCTTGGTCCCGAGCCCACAGGTCCAACTACTCACTCCCTCTGGGTAGCTGGCTGTGACCAAGAAGTCACTACAACCTTGCCCTTTGTCAGCTCTACTATATACCTGGACATTCTTACAGAACATACAAATACACTTGTAGAAACATTGCCTGCCTACCTTTTACATAGTTATGGGCACACTCCCCCCTGCAGAGACATACCTAATTGTTCAGCCTGTCCCCCCATCTATCCACTTGTAGATCAATGTTTGCCATCACTGACAATGCAGTACTGTATGTGCAAAAGTGTTCATCTTTGTTGTCTATACTTCCCATGCACCTCCCTATGTCTTCCTCTTCCTCAATGCCACCGTGTTAACCACTCACATTTGGTACATTGCCCTTCCCTTCACCCGAATCAATACTCGTCTACCTCTACCAGTGTCCCATCCCCTTCCCTTCCACCCCTGGTAACCAATAGAGAAAGTTTCCTTCCATATATAAACCTTTCCTTGACTTCTTACAATAATTAATTAATACAATATTTGTCATTCTGTGACTGACTTATTTCACTCAGCATAATAGCTTAATATCCTCCAAGTTCATCCACATTATATGGTGTTTTGCAGAATATACATTATTCTTTAGGGTTGCACAGTATTCCATTGCATGTATGTATCATAGTTTGGTTATCCATTCTTCTGTTCATGGGCACCTAGGTGGTTTCCATCTTTTGGCTATTGTAAATAGTGCTGCGATGAACATGGGTGTGCATAGATCTGTTCTTGTCATGGCTCTTACTTCTGTAGGATATATACCTAGTAATGGAATGGCTGGGTCAAATGGTATTTCTAATTCCAATTTTTTAAGGAATCACCATACCGCTTTTGACGATGGTTGTATCATTTTACAGTCCCACCAACAATGTATGAGAGTCCCAAACTCTCTACATCCTTGCCAGCATTTGTTATTTTCTGTCTTGTTGAACTTTGCTAATAGTGGTGGGGCAAGATGGTATCTTGTTGTTTTGATTTGCATCTCTCTAATGGCTAATGATTGCGAACATTTCTTCATGTGTTTGCTGGCTGCCTGAATATCCTCTTTGGTGAAGTGTCTATTCATGTCTTCTGCCCATTTTTTAATCAGATTTTTTGTCTTTTTGTTGTTGAGCTGTTGGTGTTTTCTATAAATTTTAGAGAGAAGTCTCTTGTTGCTGAATATTTTTTCCCCAATCTATAGGTTCTATTTTGACTCTTTTGGAGAAGTCTTTTGAAACACATAACAATTTAATTTTTAGAAGGTCCCATTCATCTAGTTTATATTCTGGTGTTTATGGATTTTGGGATATGCTGGATAGTCTATTTATGCCATATATGAAATTTATAAATTTGCCTCTAGTTTTTCCTTGAGGAACTCTATAGTTTTAGGTTCCACATTTAAGTCTTCAATCCATCTGGAGTTAGTTTTTGTGTATGGGGTGAGATACAGATCTTGTTTCATTTTTCTGCAAATGGTTATCCAGTTTTGCCAGGACCATTTGTTAAACAGACAATCTCTTCCCCGTTGAATGGATTTCAGTCCTTTGTTAAAGATCAGCTGACCATAGA